GTTGGCTCGAAGGGAAGAGAGAAAACGGGAAACGAGGATGGAAAGAGGAGTTCAAGTTCAAGGAAAAGAGAGCAAACTTGGTTACAGCCATAACGTCGTTCTACTATTCGAATAGTTCTCCCGTTTTCATCGATCTGAATTAACTTCTCACGGGGACGTTCCTGTACCGCAATCTGGAACCGAGGAAAACACTGCATAGGGCAATAAGAAGGTTATTAATCAGATCTTCCCATTCTACAGCGAAAAAATTGTTACTATTTGTTCATCGTTTAGTCAAACACGTTTTGGCTAGTTGAGAAACATTTTCCAAAAACGATTCACTTTATCAATTATTATCATTCTGAAAGTACTATGCTGCTCTTTACAAAAACTTTCTCTAAAACCTTTTTATCAATTACTGAGTGAGTGAACGCAATTACTTAAAACAATTATATTTCACCGTTTTATTAAAATCTGAACGCTGCGTCTCGCGCAAAAAACATTATAAAATACCAGAAGCAAATTGCATTTCTTAGATTCTACAAGGAATCGCGAAATACATTTTTTAAACTGTTTCATTTCGCATAAAATGCTAAACGGTATCTGAATCTGAATCTTGTTCAGTTTACCCGCGATGGTAGGAGCGGTTCGAAGTTTGGTGAAAAGTAGCGACAAAATCGGGGAGGCGGCCGTCGTCTAGAAATGCGTTCGGCCTCGAAAGTGCGCGGCTTAATCGAGCGGGTGAAAGCGCGTTGGTTCGCGGGCGCGGAGTGAAGGCGCTGTCCCGATATATATGCGTGCAATAAAAGAAAATGTCGGATGCTGCGAGAGAGAGAAATCCAGCCCGCGCGATATTAGACGCGCGTTCTGGATTCGAGCCGACAAATTATTCATCCGGCGGCGGGCGTGCGTCGCGGGTTGCACCCCGTCGCGTCCCTTTCGCGACCGTTCGCCACTTTCTCGTTCTTCAGAGGGGGTAGAAGAACACTGTTTTCGCAAGTTGGACGAACGAGGAAGGGGTGAGAGGCAGGCCAGCAGGCCGTGGTTTAACGCTCATGAAAACTTTATGAGAAGATTAAGGTCAGTTTATCGCGGGCCGTCGCTTCGACGACCGAATTTCGACCTATCGCGAGATTCTCACGATTTAACCCTAATCCGTACTCAGTATCAACTTCACGCTTTCCGTCTAGGCAACATTATCCACCCTGTCTTTATTATTTCATTCTGAAACTTGTTACATCCGATGACCGCGTGCGTCGCCAATAGCTAATCAAGCCTGACCCTGTTATCGGATAAAAATCAC